CAGCCCGATTCGTAACCACTACGCTACCAGAACTAACAACACAGGCAGCCTGCAGTATATCAGATGTATAAAATGACACAGAAACCATCTAAAAAGTTTGAAATATCAGAACCGAAGGCTGTCTCCATTCGTAAATGAATGATTGGGGGGAAGAAGGAAAGAATAAGATACATAAAGAAATCGAAACATCCCTAAACCTACAACGAAAGGAAAAACTACTAGATATTAGTTTTAAAAACTCACAAGTTATAATAATGTTACACAAGTTTACCATTTTAACTGATTTTCAGTGTGTTTATACATGCAACATAAATTACAAATACATAATTTTGTAATTTATTAATAATATTGCAATACCATCTAAAAGAACACAAAAATGCAGTAAATCTTCATGATAAATAAAATTATTGCGTTTAATGTCATCTTCTTGAATGAAACCCCAAGTCCTCCAATTCCTAATGCTGTTCCACACAAACACCATCGTTCTAAATGAGAGGGAATTTCCGTCTGCAGACCCCAGCGTCTAGTATGAACACAAGGCAGTGAAAGCCCTACAGCGTGCCTGGTTGAGTCAGGTAATCATGGAAGTAAGAGAGGATTTAAACGGTTTATTGTCCCACGGAGCACATTGAAGGAAAGCGTAACAAGCAGCAGAATCTGGTTCCCACCATAACATTATTTACACCCATTTATTAGGCTAGAAACACTAGCTTCAAGAGGTACTGGCATGTTTCACTTGTAATAATTTTTCTATAGCAATCAATTGTCTGATATTTGAAGCATATTGAAGAAAATATTGTTTCACGTCTTTGTTCTCAACCACAAGAGTTGTGAGTACTTTGGGCAAATCCTGGGTGCCGGGTGACCTGATGAATGCACTAAAGTCAAGCAGCATGTTTGTATGCCGGAACCACGCTTCCATCCACACACATCTTGCCTGGGTTGTGGCACTCAGGTGTCTCCTACTGGCACTGACACTTAAAGAAGAAAAACTCTTCGTTAGGAAAGTTTCACCCCAATTTTGTTTTGTTCTTTCTTCATTAGCCGCTGTGCTTCCTTTTCCATTTTTTTCCTTTGTTGTTCTGCTGCTCTCTTTTCTCTGTCTGCTATTTTCTGCTGCCTGGGATTGGAAAAGAAACACCTTTATATTTTTACTTGTAGAAAATGCTACACCAATGAAATAATAAATCCTAGCAGACAATGCCTTTTTACTAAGATCAAATCAAAATTCCCTTGATTTGCCTCACTGTTTTCAAAGTTTCAGACTGCAAAAAAAAAAACCAGTATTTCATTTAATTCTTAAAATATAACTTGTGAAATAGAACAGGCACTGTCTCTATTCACAAATAAGCAAAACAAGGAACAAAGGCTAAGTGACCTTCCAAAGTCATAGGATTAAGCACAAGGATAAGAATTCATTTCTCCTGAGCCCTCTTCTTCAGATTATTTTCACTGAAAACTTCCATTGGACCGTACCTTCTTCTTTTTACAATTCAGAACTTTCATTATTGAAGATTAAACCTACTGTCATTAAAATTGTTAAAAACAGTCAACTAAAGGATGTTAGCATTCCTGGTGTAGTGCTGTAGGATCAGCACTGGACTTCGAACCACAAGGTCAGCAGTTTAAAACTACCAGTTGCTCCTCAGAAAAACTAGACAGGGTCGCAATGAGCTGAACTGACTCAGTGGCATTTAACAACAAAGGATGTTAAGAGTCCTGGTGTGATGCTGTAGATAAGCAATGAACTCTGCTAACCACAAGATCAGCAGTTCTAACCCACCAACAGCTATTCAGAAACCCTATACAGCAGGGGTGGGGAATTTTTTTTTTCTGCCAAAGGTCATATGGATATTTTATAACATCATGCACAATACAAAATTATCAACTTAAAAATTAGGCTGCTATATTTGGTCAAATATTTAATTAACTCACTTCTAATGTGATAGCTCACCAGCTGCTCCTTGGCAACCCTATACAAGGTCGCTCTATGTGAGAACTGACTTAATGGCACTGAACAACAACAAGGTGATAGCTGCAACTGTGGCTGCCTTGGCAGGGCCACACCAAAGGATTTCTCAGGTCTTACATGGCCCGGTGGCCTGACATTCCCCTGCTATACGGGGTCGCTATGAGTCGACACCAAGTTCACAGCACTTAACAACAACAACAACAACAACAAAGGATGTGAAGAATACCCACTAAACCCACGCCATTGAGTAGAACTGCTCCCTAGGTTTTCTGAGACTGCCAAGCTTTACAGCAGCAGACAGTTTCATCTCTGGACTTGTGGGTAAGACCTGGTGGTTAGTAGGGTTAGTAGCCAGGCTGTCAGTAGCCCAAGGTGAGACCTATTGTGGCACCAGAGCTTCTCTGTTAAAAATACAATTCTTCAGAACACCCTCCAAAGAGAAAATGAAAACATACTAAGTAGAAGCTAGAAATCTATTGGAGGATTAACATTCCACCAACTCTACTAATGAAGGAGAACAGTAATTACTTATTAATTCTATATTACAAAATATATTACCTCTCCTTAGGCCTACCATAAAACTCCACGGGCACAGAATCACTTAGCCTATCTTTATTGAAGGATTTGTGGAGAGTTGGAGCAAGAGGGGGTGATGAACAGAAGTGAGTGGGAACAAAACTTAGTGCTTGATCTGAAGGGATGGGATGGAGAGAATAGTATTCTAAGTCGAGGAAGGAAAGTGTAAGTCACAGCCAGGCACTGATAGACAACATTTGGTTATAGCCAGAAAAATCCATCATGGATTACCTATACCTGACTACACTGAGTAAAATGTATACACATTCTCAATCACACTTACTGGTGATGGTGGTCGTGGTAGTGGTGTGCCATCAAGTTGGTTACAATGCAACCCTGGAGCAGAAAGTCTCATCTTTCTCCCACAGAGTGACTGGAAGATTCGAACTGCTGACCTTGCAGTTAGCAACCCAACATGTAATCCACTAAGCTACTGGTGGTGGTGGTGGTTATGTGCTGTGGAGTCGGTTCCAACTCATAGCGACTCTACAGGGTTTTCAAGGCTGTAAATCTTTACGGGAGCAGAAAGCCTCATCTTTCTCACGTGGAACCACTGGTAGTTTCAAACTGCTGACCCTGAGGTTAGCTGCCAGACTCGTAACCACTACTAGAGCTCCTTAATCACACTTACTAGGAAACTTCAAAAAGTTCATGGAAAAACTTTATTAAAAGATAATGGAATTTTCCCACAAACATATTTATAAAGTGGGACCCACTCTTATAAAAATGGATTCCTGGTGTGGCGCTGTGGATTAATGCGCCAGACTGCAAAGCCATTTGAATTGCAAAGTTGGCGGTTCAAGCTCACCAGCTGCTCCTCGGAAACCCTATACAGGGTCACTATGGGTCAGAGTCAATTCAACGGCACACAACAACTCTTATAAATAAGAGAGTACACAGAGTTATAGATGAACAAAACTCAAGAAAATACAGAGGTCTATTTTAGGCAACATTTTGACCTTCAATATTACGAAGTTTCTAAAGAATAGATGTTTCTAAGGAATAAAGAAGCTTTGCTTTTCACTAACTCTGTTCACTTTCAAGAAAAACAGAAAGTTTGCATTAAAAAGGCAAAACTTCAGTGACTAAAGGAAGAGATTTCTGTCACAACAATGTAAAGATCACTGCAGACAAAATACATTTTACCTGTTCAGATTCATGGGGACTCCTGGTGTGGCACTGCAGGATAAGCACTGGACTGCTAACCACAAGGTCAGCAGTTCAAACCCACCAGTCATTCCTTGGAAACTCTATAGAGGGTTACTCTGAGTTGCCACGGACTTGACAACTTCACAACAACAACAGATTCATGGACCAAATTCCTTAATGATATTGACCACGGTGGCAGCCATACACAGACTCAGAGTTAGGGGGCATGGAGTAGGGACACACGTAAAAAGTCTGAGTTTTCTTTCAGGGCAGGAAAGATTTAGGAAGCCTCCCATGGTCCTTTGGCTCTACCTGTTTATGCAACTTGTAGCAGAAGCATTTCTACTATTGAGTAATAGCTCCCCCTTCCCCAATCTCTCATGATAATGTTAAACACTAAATTAAGACAAATGTATTTTCTTATTGTTTAGGGGGAAAAAAGGATAAGATGGAAAAGAGAATGCTCTGCATAGTGAATGTTTAGATACTTGTATAGTCATGGTGTAAACTCTACTGTGTTGTCACTGATATTACCAGATCCAAAATGAACATCTCCTTCCTTTATCCAGCCCACCAGCCGCTCCGTGAAAGAAAGATGAAGCTTTCCGAGATTGGAAACCTCGGAAACCGTATCCAGGGTCAGGATGAGTCTGAATCGACTCCACGGCACTTAACCGCAATGACACTAGTAATCACTAGAATCTCCAAAATGTTACAAAATATTCAGACTTTTGTATCTATGATTGATTGAAAAAATAAAAAATCAGATGATTTCTCATTTTTGATGATCTGTGTAACAGCTTTACAAACTTTTTTTTTTTTTTTTTTAACAAATGTTACCCTCTTCTTATAATAGAAAAGGTATGCTAAAATCAGGAAGGAAGAGTCTATGCAACAACAACAACAAATAAAAACAAAAACAAAACAAATTTAATCTAAGAGAAAAGTAATTTCCATTCATCGAACTATGCCTTCTACTGATTATTGAAAGTAATTGTAATTTACTGATCGGTTGGAAAGAAAAAAAAATGAAATCAGTTGTTTTTGTTAAGATTCTCAGATAACCCAATAAAGTACTGTCAAGTCAGTTCTGACTCACAGTGCCCCTACAGAGCACAGAAGACTTGCACTGTAGGGTTTTCAAGGCAGTAAATCTTTACGGAAGCAGACTGCCACATCTTTCTCCTGCAGAGCAGCTGTTGGATTCACACCGCTGAAATTCTGCTCAGTTAATCAAACACTTTAAAACTGCACAACCAGGGCATCCCTATTGTGAAAATAATCTTAAGATGAAAAAAAAAAATGCATCACTCTATTTTATGTGTCATAGACATAAGATACACATAACTGATCAGTGATGACAGCTAAGGTAAATTGCCTATCTACTCTGTTACATACGGCAGCAGTGACAAGAACTAAGTTGGGTGATTACAACAACAAAGAACGGACCAAACTGCCAATGAAAATAAAGTTAAATCCTCTATTTCCTTTCCTGTACAAGGGGCAGTTCCTGATGTATCTAGCTCATGGAGCTCTTGTGTACATTAACTGAGCCATGGGAATGTGGTGGCACTGCAGGATAAACACTAGACTGTAAACCACAAGGTTGCCAGCTTGAGCCCACCAGTTGCTCCACAGGAGGAAGATGAGGTTTTCTGCTCCAGCAAAGATTTATAGTCTCAGAAATCCTATGAAGGGCTGCTATGAGTAGGAACCAACTTTACGGCACTTAACACAAACAACGGAGATATGTGTACCACACAGAATGAAAATACATAGGTGCACGTATGTACGTGTGGAGATTACACTCTTTCATTTAAATGTGTGCTAGGCCATAAGAAGCACAAATAAAGTTTTAATTTCTGACCTAAAAGAACATATCGTGGTGACTCACACATCAGAGTCGGACAAATAGGAGGTAAGTGTGGTTTATAAGGAATAAAGTGTAAAGCATACACTGTATAAGGACTCATTTGCCATTAATAATTTTTTTTTCTTAAATTCCTGGTTTTTGAGAATGAGGTTTTCAGCATATAAAAAAGGGTATATAGTTCTGAAATACAAAAAAAGTGTCCTATATTATCAAGATTCAAATGAAGAAGAAAGAGGAAAAATATGACATTTGGCAGAGTAGTCTTTTTTTGACCTTAAACACAACAGGAAACAAATCTAGTTCTTCTACTCAGTTTGCAATGTAAATATGCGTATCACTGAAATACCTCAAGACTTCTTCTGCTTGCCAGGCCGCATCTTCTTCTTCTTCCCAAGCATTGGTATTTTCTTGCCAGGTATCTAAGTCACCTAATTCAGGCTACAATGAAAAATAAAAGGATAGCAAAGAGCCATCTGTTTCCTTCAAAGAGCAGTCAATAAGGTGTGTTTAAAAACAGAACACAGAATCTGTCCCTCCCCTGTTTAATGCCCTCCTGTGGCTTTTAACTTATTTACTGTGTCCTATACACAACGTCCAAATGATTGTGGCCCTGGTTTTACCTGACACTAGTTTCCTGTGATGAAGGACTTTCAGTGCTAAAAGTAGAATAATATAGTCCGAGGATTGTTGTTAGGTGTTGTTGGTTCTGACTCATAATGACCCCATGTACAACAGTACAAAACACTGCCCAGCCCTGTGCTAGCCTCACAAGCCTTCCTCTATTTATCTTGATTGGCATCCTTCTACATCTTGTTTCCTTTTCCCTCCTACTTGTCTGATATCATCAGGTTCCTACGACCCTCCACTCCTCAGGCCAGACCTAGAAAACGTCACTTTTTTTCTTCCATGAATCATTAAAAATCATTCAAAATGCTCATTTTGGGATGTTCAGTTAAGTGTTGAAGTGGTTAAGTGTTGAAGTGATTATGGGTGTAAAATAATTAGCACAAATCTATAGTAATAAATAATGAGCTCTGGTACTGTAGTGGTTACGAATAGGGCTGTGAACCTTAAGGTCAGCAGTTCAAAACTACCAGTCACTCCGTAGGAGATAGATGAGGCTTTCTGCTTCTGTAAAGATTTACAGCCTCAGAAACCTTGTACAGGGTCGCTATGGGTCAGAACCGACTCAACGGCACTTAAAAACAACAACATAGTAATAAATATGTTTATTTGCATTCTGTTTTCAGATCTTACATATAAAAATGAAGAAATATTTTTTTCACTTTTCTTCCCTGATCATAGATGTAATGTCATCCTCTATTTAAAAAATACTCTTCAAAGTAAATATTTATTTAAAAAAAACTTCTGCAATAGAAAAGCTAGGCCAAAGAAAAGGGTGATTTTTAAAGCTAATGAAACATAGTACAAATGATCCACTTGAAAAGTTGGACCATCTTCTCCTCCTGACCTAGCTGTAGGTGGAATTCGGATTTCTTTGTGTCCTTGTCAATACTAGCAACTGCGTTCTTTTTCATCTTTGCTAATTTGATAAGGTTTTTAAATGGTGTCTTGCTATTTTAATTTCAAATCACTAAGAACTAATAAGCTCAAGTATTTCTTTCCCTGTTATTAGGTCATGTCTATTTTTTTAAATGCAAAATTTTCATTCATACTACTTATTCAGTTTTCCACTGCATGATTTTTAGTATAAAAAAGTAAACTATTAGATGTAAAACTAAAGTTCTCCCATGCAACCTATCATATAATTCACAATAAAACATTAAAAAAAAGTAAACTATTAGAACCATTTAAAAAATAACAACATCTGTTCTTTTAGTAGTAATGTCCTTCTAAATTTAAAGAAATAAAAAAACAAAACTGTAATGTAAATGCAGTTGATAGTTTACTTGCATAAAAACTGAATACATATGCCCATAAAAAACATCTAAGCCAATAACACATTGAAAATTAAGTTTTTAAGAAATGACAGAAAAACTTCAAGGCTTACTGTACCCCTATAATAATCAAATCACTGTGTTACTGGCAAAAGAACAGACAGATTAGTTGACGAGAACCAGAAATATATCCACACAAATAAAGCCAAGTGATCTTTGATACAGGAGTAAATGCAATTCAACAGAGAAAGAATAATTTTCCAAACTATGCTGGAACTGGACATTCACATGCAAGAAATTTAGAATTAATGTTATAAAAGTTAACTCAAAGTGGATGATAGGCCGAAATATAAAAAGACAAATCCATAAAACTTGTATAAGACACCATAGGACAAAGTCTTGGCGACATGAGTCTGGCAATGGGCTTTTAGATAAATAAAAAGTCTGATCCATGAAAGGAATTATTGATAAGTTGGAGTTTGTTAAATTAAAATCTTCTGTTCTGTTAATGACGCTGTTAAAAGAATGAAAAGGCAAGTCTTGGAGAAAATATATACAAAACAATATCTGATAAAGAACTTGCACCCAAAATATACAAAGAACTCTTAAAACTCAGAAAGAACACAAACAACCCAATTACAAAATGGGGATACTTCACCTAAGAAGTTATACATGAGGTAAATAATCATGTGAAATGATGCTCATTTGTAATTAGGGAATTACAAATTAAGACGATAATGAGCTTTCACTATCCTCATTGAGTGAATGGGTAGCATCCCAAACACTACTATGAAGTGCTAGTGAAAATGTGGAGCAACAGGAACTCTCCTTTACTGATGTCAGGAACGCAAAATTACAGAGCTACTTTGGAAGACAGCCTGAAAATTTCTTACAAAGCTAACCACAGACTTACTGTATGATTCAGTAATTATGTTCCTTGATATTTACTCAAATTAGTAGAACGGTTACATCTACACAAAATCCTGTACACAAATGTTTATAACAGTCTTACTAATAATTGCCAAAAACTAGAAGCAACCAATACGTCTTTCAATAGAGAAATAGATAAACTGTGACCGAAAGGTTGGTTTGAGCTTCAAGGAGGCAGTTCAATCTCACCAGTCACTCCTCCTCGGAAACCCTACACCGGGTCGCTATGAGTCGTAACCTACTCTACGGCACTTGAAAACAACAACCCAAAAAATAGAATGGCAACCCCGAATAGGGTTTTCAAGGAGCAACTGGTGAATTTGAACTGGTGACCTTGTGGCTCAAACTGACTTTTCAGTCCCGCACATTAGCCCACGGAGCCACACAATATTAGATTAGTCAGCAATCAAAAGAATTGAACTATGTGTGGCACTGCAGGATAAGCAATGGACTGTTAACCACAAGGTTAGTGGTTCAAATCCAACAGCCACTTATCAGAAACCCTACTAAGGTTGCCATGAGTCGAAATTGACTCGATGGTACTTAATAACAACAACATCAAGCCATAAACACTCTTGGCCGAACTTTAAATACATATTGCTAAGTGAAAGAGACCAGTACAAAAGGCTACATACCATATGAGTGGGCTTCAAATACTTCATGGAAAATGGAATTAAAAGATAGTGGAAGCTTTCCACTAACTTTTTGAATCCCCCCTTGTATTATTTCAATGACACTGACTCTTCACTGGTTAGGTTCCAAAGACAAGGTTGCTATGCAAACCCAGCATTTTGTGAAAGTGGAGAAAGACCACATCAAATCATAAAACGGGAGATGGCTACGTTATTACCTAACTGCCAAATACTGAGACTTCTGGCCCAGCCATCATTGTTTTTGCCTTGCACATCAGCAATCATCACTGCCAAACATATGTAATTAACATGAAAAATCAATTTTTTAACTATTGTTGTCATAGTCACAAAACAAGGAGTAGTTGTATGTCATTTGGGAAAAAAGGCAAAACTACAGAGATAGCCAAAAGATTAGCAATAGCCAGGAGCGAGGTAAAGCACATGGGATTATTACAGCATTGTGAAACTACATAGCAGTTACCAAAATCTGCAATTATATATTCGTGTGTAGGATAATTTATTTAATAGTACATTATTGCCAATAAAATCTATCCTTTGAGGTAGGAACTCTTGTTTTTTCCTCATTATTGGAGGATAAGCACTGGACAGCAAGGTCAGTTTGAACTTCAAAGTCAGTGGTTCAAACTCACCAGCTACTCCTTGAAAGCCCTGTACAGGGCTGCTATGAGTCAAAACAGACTTGACAGCACTTAACAACAACAAAAGCAACAGCACAGGACCTGACATTAGTCGGGTTAAGTGTTGATCAATGAACTGAAAATATAAACATAGGTCCCAAGGAGCGAGGAGCCTTAGATGCACCTATGCTGTTTAGGCAAGCAGGACAGATAGCTCAAAAGATAGATGTGGTGGTTAGAAAATATTCCACATGCTTTCTCTTGGATCCCCTGCTCTGTGGAACGAGGTGTTAGATTGTGAGGAAACTCATGCAGCCCTGTGAAGAGATCCATAGCAAATGACCAGCATGAATTTTCCAGGTGTGTGAATCACCTATGCAATGATTTCATCAGCCCCAGTCAACTTGCAATTGATTACAGAGCTAGTCAATGACTTGCCTGTAAACTCAAAAGAAATCCCAGAAGTAGAACCATCCAGTTAAGTCACCTTTAGAGTTCTAATCCACAGAAACTGTGGATAAAAAAAAGTTTATAATTATCTTATGCTACTAAATTGAAGGTTGTTACATAGTAGATAAGTAAGACAATCAATCACACTACCACCGAGGTTGGGTCTGAACATTGGTATTTTTAAAAAGTTCCAAAGCCAATTCTGATACACTTTCCAGGGTTGATGACCACAGTTACCTACTTTCTTCACTACCTTTATCCGTAACAAGTTACATGTAAGTCAAATTAATTTTAAATCAAATCATATTTTAAATGTAAATAGAAACAATCCATAACTCACTTTAAAATAAGATGCTATTGATGTTAAATCTGTTATTTTAGCGGTAATTTGTTTCAAGTTCAGACTTTTATATAGTATCGTCTCTCTATTTTTTATGGGGTTCAGTGAGACTCATCCTAGTATTGAAATAATCTGTAAATTAGTTTTTAAAATAGCATTGTTAAAATTGTAGCTTATCTTTCTCAAAAAGCTATCTATCCCTGTCTCAAAGCCACAGAAATACCAATAATATGTTCAGTTCATTTAGACCACCCTCCAGCCCCAAATTTTTTCTAGAACCATTAAATACTTACAGATTGATGAATAAAGGGCATATCTTGTGTAGCTGCTAATCTACTGGAGAAACCAGTGCTACCATCTGGGATGCCAACATTGAATGGTTCTCTCTTCTTAACAATGATCTGAAAATTAAATCGGAATTATAGTATTTTATGCATCCTTATAGGAAAGCAGTTAATCAACTGACCAAAGCATTTTTAGGCTAATAATAATTTTAAATGTTTTACCTACTTCTTTAAAAAGGCATAATGTAAAACTAAATACAAAGTTTTGCAAAGAATATACAAATTCTTTAGCACTTGTCATATATAATTACATACTAAGAAAAACTGTATTTTACTTTTCATAAATTGTCTTCTCCTTTCTCTGCTTTCCATAGATATCCAGCACATCACTAGATACTCTGAGTCACTGCATTAAAGAAGATCACGTATCATATAGCCTAGCAAAAGTAGCCAGTCGCTAAGGATGTACGATATCTGTGACTACACTAATTCTTTCAGACTATTAGTAATTAGATATATACTTTTTTTTTTTAACTTTCTTTTTTTAATTGTGGTTTGGGTGAAAGTTTACACTGCAAATTAGCTTCCCATTCTGCAATTTAGAAACATTTTGTTTCCTAAAATGAGTTGCTATTTCCACAATTTAACAGTATTCTTCCAGCTTCCTCCCTGGGTTCCCCATTTCCATTTGGCCTTCTTTTACATCCCTTACTGCCTGCTGAAGGAGCTCTGGTAGTGTAGTGGCTATGAATCGGGCTGCTTATCTCAAAGTCAGCAGTTCACAACTACCAGTATTTCCGTGAGAGAAAGATGAGGCTTTCTGTTCCTGTAAAGATTTACAGCCTCAGAAACTCTATACGGGGTCTCTCTGAATAACAACTGACACAACAGCACATCACCACTACCCATGGCTTCTGAGCTTTGTTAAAGACAAAAACCATATGAAACCCTTTTGGTTTCATATAGTTAACTGATCTGAGGAATACATTCTTCACGACTGTTGAGGTTCACTTTATAGGCCTGTCTGATTTTTGGCTGAAGGTGATCAATCCCCAGGGGTGGTGGTTTCAATTCCACTTTAGAAGGGTGTCTAAGGGCCCTGGTCACTGGGCTTCTGCCACTCTCTATCAGCTCAGTAAGTCTGTTCCTTATCTGCCACTCGATCCCAGGACACACTACGGTCCTGAATACAGCAGTCGGAAGAGGTATCTGGGCACCTGGTAGTTCTTCGGGTCTCAAGCAGTACGGGAAGATGTGAGCTGCATGATCCATTAGTCCTTTGGACTATTGAGTCTTTGACTTTTTTCACTCTTCTTACCTCCAGACATGGAGAGACCAATAGCTGCATCTCAGATGGTCAAATAGAATATATTTGTTTGATATATTTTAGTTTAAAACATTTAAATATAAATTAAATAAGGTACTATTATATTAACTAGGTTCTATTGAGAGTAGCCCATCACTCATCTGTCAGTCTGCAGTAATGTGGTGGCTTGCTTGCTGTTTTTTTTTTGTGATGCTGGGCAGATTTTAGCTGAGCTTTCAGGTAACACAGACTAGGAAGGAGAGGCTAAATCTTTCTGAAAACTTAGCCCCTAAAAACCTTATGAATAGAAGCAGAGCACTGTCAGATATAGTGCCAAAAGATGAGGACCTCAGGTTAGCAGGTACTTGAAATGTGACTGTGTAAGAGCTGCCTCCTCAAAGTAGAGATGACCAGGATGACACAAACAGAGTAAAGCTTCTGGGACCTTCATTTGCTGATGAGGCACAACTCAAAATTAGAAGTGGCAAATACCCATTAACAATTAGAACATGAAATGTAAGAAGTATGTTGTTGTTGTTTAGTGCCGTCGAGTCGGTTCCGACCCATAGCGACCCTGTACAGGGTTTCCGAGGGTGTAAATCTTTACGGGAGTAGAAAGCCTCATCTTTCTCCCGCGGAACGGCTGGTAGTTTCGAACCGCTGACCTTAAGGTTCGCAGCCCGATTCATAACTACTACACTACCAGAGCTCTTGTCAAAGATGAAGTGGAATGCATAAATATTGATATCCTAGGCATTAGTGAGCTAAAATGATCTGAGATTGGACATTTTGAATCTGACAATCATATGGTTTACTATGCCAGGAACAATACATCCAAGACAAATGGTGTTGCATTCATCATCAAAAAGAGTGTTTCAGGATCTATCTTAAAGTACAATGCTTTCTATGATTGGATACTATCCACACACCTACAAGAAAACCAATTAACAAAACTATTATTCAAATTTAGGCATCAACCACTAAAGCCAATGATGATTGAAGAATTCTACCTACATCATCTTCAATCTGAAATTGATCAAACATGCAATAAAGATGCATTGATAATTACTGGTGATTGAAACGCGAAGGTTGGAAACAATAAAGATGTATTGTTCATTACTGGTGATTGAAATGTGAAAGTTGGAAATAATAAAAATGTATTGTTAGTTACTGGTGATTGAAATGCGAAGGTTGGAAACAAGAATGCTGGAAGAATATGGCCTTCATGAAACAAATGATGCTGGAAACAGCATAAGAGAATTTTGCAAAATCAGTTATTTATTCATAGCAAATCTGTTTAAACAACAGACAAGGAAATTATACACATGAACCTAACCAGATGGAGTGCAAAAAAATCTAACTGGCTACATCTGTGGGACGAGACGGTGTAAAAGTTCCACATCATCAGGCAAAACAAGGACAGGGGCAGACTGTGGAACAGAACCACAATTGCTCATAAGCAAGTTTAGTCTGAATCTAAAGAACATTAAAGCATAATCCAAGACAGCCAACATGTTACCTTGAGCATATCCCAACTGAATTTAGAGACCATATCAAGAACAGACTTCATACATTAGACACCAATGACCGAAGACCAAAAGAGCTGTGGGATGGCATCAAGACAATCATACAGGAAGAAAGCAAAAAGTCATTCAAAAGACCACAAAGTAAGAAAAGACAAAAATGGATGTCAGAAGAGGCTCTGAAACTTACTCACCAGTGTAATTATGCTAAAGTGTATGGAAGAAATGAGGAAGTAAAAGAGGTGAACGGAAAATTTGAAAGGGCAGCACAAATGAAAAAGTCAAGTTTTATAATGAAATTTTAAAAGACCTGGAGTTAGAAAATCAGAAGGAAAGAATATACTCAGCATTTCTCAAGCTTAAAGTACTGAAGAAAAAATTCAAGCCTCAACTTGAAGTATTGAAGGATTCTATGGAATATACAGAGACACTGTACCAAAAGGAAATGGTTGATCTTCAACCATTTCATGAGGTAGTCTAAGATTAAGAGCCAATTATACTGAAGGAAGAAGTCCAAGGTACACTGAAGGAATTTGCAAAGAACAAGTCACTGGGAAATGATGGAATAAAAATTGAAATCTTTCAACAAAGTGAGGGTTCAGCACTGG